ATAAAAGATTCGATTGTGAATGAATTTAGGTGTTTTAGTCTTAAAGCGGAGTCAGCTTACATAATCTGTCTTATCTTATTTTCGTGTTAAAGAAACATTATACATAGCTAGGAGTTGGAAAACCCGCAAATTTCTAAAACACCACCAACTGTCAAGTCAAAATGTACAGGGGGCTCTTTTCTAGAAGTGACTCGAGGATTGCGGTTGAACAAGTTCCCATTGAAGCAATGACGTGGAGTGAAGTTAGCCTTTGAAGTTGATTTCAACCTGATAATGCTGCTTTTTGTAGTGCTTTGACATCCAGAATGCGAAGCCATAAGCAATGTACAATTCGGATGGATATCATACGATTAGCCATTTATTAACTTAGAGTTCAGATCCCATGTACATCCAAGAGTCTTCTACAGGCCAAGGCGGCTAGGATGTGTTTACTATAGTTGCGTCTGGATGGGAAGTCCAGCTTTGTCTCATACCAAGAGTAATTCCTAAATATTTAACTTTGCCGTAGTATTCAAACCCTTTCTCCCAAAAGGGAAACCGAAACAAAAATGCGGTTTATACTTTCTTCAGACGGGTACAATACCTGAGTACCAAATTGCTTTTTGATATTGTCTATTTAAGTTCTGTTTATATTTAAATATTTATCTTCTTCTACAGATTTGGCTCTTCTAACAATTTTCAATACCTTTGGCTTTTAAATTTTCTTTTACAACGACGACGACTTCTGGTAATTTTACTCAAATTGTATTTTATTAGTTATCACGTCTAAATGTCAAATCTTTTACGATGCGACTTTTCGGCAGCAAACATAACTCTTTTAGTTTAATACATTGCTGAAACAGCTGAAATTTTCATTAGCCAAAATATTCCAATTCGTGGGCACTTTTAATTTTCGCCCAAATGATGCTTGGCTGTGTGTATGTATGTATGTACTATGTGTTTGTCCAAGTACAAATGTTGTGGGCTCGTAAAAGTTTTTACGATCCTTCTACGTTCTGCATACGTGAGGCGAAGTGCAACAAAGTTAGGTGATACAGATGTACTATTTATACATTTGAGTAGGTTTGCAGAGCTTGTGGCTACTTATGCAGTTAATCCATGCTGATACAAATATTTGCATCCGGCATCGAGGATTTTTAAATTATCTTAGAAATGCTTAAAATAACGCCAAAGTATGTAGCGAAAGATTACACGAAATTTTTGAGGTGATTGAATTAGAATGGACGATACAAATAGTGTATGTTAAATAACGGTCAACTCCGCTATTCCATATTTGGCAGTTGCATGCTGTGCCAGAATGAGGAATATATGTATACATATATGTCGAATATTTACCATATGTATATATGGGAATATTTACAGGCCATACTACGAATTTTATCGATTTTACAGATAATAAAATCAGTGCGATTTTTTTTTTTTTTTCAAATACATATTGTTCACATTGAGGATTAATGACTAAAATACCCTCTGATTGGGAACTATACAAAACGGGACTATAAACCCGACATCCAACAGTCTAAGAGGTATTATCTTATTACATTAAACGAGCAATTCTTGTATATATATATATATCCATAGGGTTCTCGGAAACGACTCTAACGATTTTGATGAAATTCCGTACACAGATAATGTTTTGGATTTTAAGGTTATCTGAACAGGTAGATACTATCCCCGAGAATACTCGTATAAGATTGCCACCTGTTCGAAATTAACTACAAATTAATTAAAACATCATAATATGGGAATCAACTGGAATGTATTTTGAATATCCCTAAAAAAATATATTTTTAACAGTGTTGCCACCTAATTTGAATAGCATATTTATTTTTTTTTTTTTAGAAAAAGGTAAAATATTACTTTACTATTCATGGGTACCAAGAGAAAGTTCTTAAACAATGCTTTCCCTACACTCAGAAAAAAGAATTTCCTTAAATCAAGAAAACCGTACCCTTATTTTCGAGTTACTGTTTTTTCCTTAATATTACTAAAAAATTACTCAATTTCAGACATTTTTCCTTAACTTAAAAATAGGGCGTCATTAATTTCAAGAAGTAAGTTTACTCAATATAAGTAATAATTTCCTCAATATAAGTAATAATTTCCTTAAATAATTTTGAATTTTGTCAGTGCTGTCAAGACAAAGTTAATGGCTTTCCTGGAGGTGGTTGGAGTAAGGTATGTCAATTATTTCAAGTTAAATATAAATTAGAAATTGTAAAATTAATTTCATATATGGAAAAACCTAAATACTCAAATAACATAAAAAATAGATTAGATAAATTTGTTTTTTTTAACTACAATTAAAAAAATACAATTATAAAGAAAAATAAAAATTAAAAATATATGTAGTAAAAAAAAAAATTCCTGCTCTGGGACTCGATCCTTGCTTCTCTCGACTAGCACTCCAAAGCTTTGCTCTGTCGGCCAATGCCACTGTTTGAGCACCGCGAGCAAAATCACATACTTATTCCTTTCACAGGGGATGAAATGGCAAGTAAATTTTTCCTAAAAACTAATGCCGAATTTCCAATAGGCATTGTTGAAATGACAAAAGATGTATGCCATTTAAAAAAATGCCATGTGGAAATGAACTTAATGACTATTTTTCTAATGTAATGACACGATTTTTTTTTAATGCTCGACTTTGTCATTTGTCATTTTTGCTATTTAATGCCTAGTGGAAATCCAGCATAAGGAATTGTGTTTTCCTTAAACTGAGTCAACTCGTTTACTCATATTAAGGCAGCCATGTCTTTGGAGCCATTTCAAGGTAATATTTCCTTAGAATAATATACTTTTTTCTTAGCATCAAGGAATGTTTTTTCGGATTGTATATACAAAATGTTATCCCTTGGGACAATAGTGTACTTATTTTCGGTTTTACACAATTTATCTAAAACATCGCAACATGCATATCAAATGAAAGGTATTTTTGCGAACTTTGGTCGGAAAATATTTCCCATCAGGGTAGCCACGCTTCTATTTAATACAAATTTTTATTTTTTATTATTTTCAATTAGCATTTTTTATGTATACACAGTACATATACGCTCAAGATATGTACCATTCATTCCACAGTATTTCGGAGTAGGGTTGCCACCTAAATTTTGGATTAAGAAATTTACTTAATAGATATCGAAATCCATTTTTTTTCAAAATATTTTTTTAAGCAATCCAAATCTTGAAAACTTTTAAAATTATATGCGCTCCGGGCAAAACTCGGTCAACCTGGTACTTGGTAGCGTAGACGGATGCCTCTAAATGTAGACGTGTGCTTTCTAGGTACCTTTTGGCTATTTGAGAGAGGTGGCTGTCAAGGTTCTTTTCGGTGCCCATTTTCCATGTAACCTAGTCGCAGGAGAAGCCTCAGATTTGGAGACCCGTTTTAGTGACCTGTTGTGTAAGCCCAGCCTTGTTTGGTAGATAAGGTCCTTAAAACCTTTCACTTCCGCGGGACCAGGTAGTATTCCACCTGCCATGTGCACCGCGGCCTCCAAAGTGATCTATTGTACATCGCCCTACGCCTTATATGGGGAAGTCAGTTTCAGAAGCTATGTCGTGTCACTTGATGTCTTCAATCTGCGCGAGTTGCGTTATGCAAGGGTTTATGCCTGGATCTTGGAGAGTGGAAACTGCATGGCGGATGAGCTAGCGAGAAAAGGTACCCTTAGACTCACCGAGCAAGGAGTGAGTAGGAGTACCTTTAATTGCAAGCTCACTAGCTTTCTGGCCGGAAGTGGGCTGGAGGTGGTCGAAGAAACTTTTGTGTTCACAATACCGCAACTCTCAATTCTGATGGGTATATTGGCTGTCATGTCAAGATCGCAAACTTTTGGAGCATTCAGGAGAAAGATTCTACGAAAAATTTACGGGCCTTTGCGCGTTGGCTACGGCAAATACCACAGACGATAAAAAGATGAGCTTTTTAACGACATAAACCTAGTTCAGTGAATTAAAATACAGCAGCTCCGCTGGCTGGACCATGTCGCGAATGGCCAGAAACGCTCCAGCTTTAAAAATATGTATCGTCGATCGCATTGCTGGTAGCGGAGGAAGAACTCATTTGTGATGAAAAGACCAGCTGAAGAAGGAATTGGATTCACTTGGCCTTTTCAATTGCTGTCAGTTGGCACTGAAAAGAGACGACTAAGGTGCGGTATTAGAATCGGCCAGAATCGCTTAGGCTCTTACAAAAAATAAGAATTGACTGCAAACTGTCGAATAATTATTCACGTAATCAGAATCTTAGTAACGAAGCTGCTTAGAGGACGAGAGGGCTTTTGCAAGCCTACGATCTAACCACCTTGGATCGGACCAGTCCTCAGAAGATATCCGGCCCTGACATCTATCGCCTGGGAAACATCTTTCTTTTTGACACACATCGCTTTTCGCTATGATTCAGCAGTTAACGTTCGTAGTGGTATTATAAAGGACTGGTCTAAGTGCTAGCCTATTTAGGGCAACCAATTTAGCCTAGGCTAACTTACTCATATCTCTTTCTATAGTCGCAACTAAAATTCCTTTTATATTCAAAATTTTTCATCCTTCACCAATTAAATATTTATTGTTTATTTAAACCCCACTTTTAGCTAAATAATGGCTAAGTACAAATTTGTTTATAATCACAACACCAGATGTTCTTGCTTACATATCGACGGCTGAGTGGAAGTTCGAAAACGCCTTATTTCAGAAAACTTTTCAAGAATGCTATATTTCAAAATTTGATTGAAGAACGCCCCATGTTTTTATCATGGAACGCCCTATCTGAGAATTTAATTGAAGAATGCCGTATTTCAGAATTCGGTTCAAAAAGGCCCTAGAAGTTTGAATGAATTCACGCAGCACTCTAATATGTATGTATGTATATTGAATTTCCTTTAAGAATTCGGAAGAAGCATAGAGCAATGTTTGAAGTTTCAAAAGAAAAGTATAACAATTTTGAAAGATTATTTTTTTTTTAATTTTTCTCAGATATTTTAAAGTTAGCTTTTCCGCTTTATCGTAAAATGAATAAACACGGACGTATGAGTGCACCAATGATCATTTTCAATCCTTCGGTGGATTATGAACTAGTGCTTACACTCTTTCTGGAAGAATTCAATGGACGCTGGAATAATGTAGCTCCATCGACAGATACCGGACTTGAAGGTTTCGAAGAAGTTGCTACACTTGGTTCCGGTTCATTTGGCCAAGTGGTAAACAAAAAAATCGCAGGAATTCACATTTTAGTTTCGACTGATTTTAATCCCATATTTTTAACCGCTTAATTAGGCACTAGCGAGGGAGAAGACCTCAGGCGATTTATATGCAGCTAAAATAATGCTAAAAGATAAAATCGTCAAAATGAAGCAGGTGGCGCATGTTCACAATGAAAAGCGTGTCTTGGCGTGCATAAGATTCCCCTCGCTTATTTGTTTGGAATTCTCACGAAAAGATTTCGATCACATCTACCTGGGCTTGCCGTTCATCAATGGCGGTGAACTGTTCACATATCATCGCAAGTACAGACGTACAGCTTGGCACAAACAAATTCAACATATTTAATTCCGTGTTGTCGTTTAGGATGCGCAGATTCAAAGAGAAACAAGCGCGTTTCTATGCTGCTCAGGTATTTCTTGGTCTGGAATATTTGCATTTTTTGCATCTGATCTACCGCGACTTGAAGCCCGAAAACATAATGCTCGATGGAAGAGGTTATATAAAAATAATCGATTTTGGATTTGCAAAGGTTTGCTCTATTTTCTTTTATTTAGAGCATGGTTCTCACTTTTATCTCTAAATTACTACTTTATAAGCAGAAAGTTCAGGCACGCACCATGACCTTATGTGGCACACCCGAGTATCTTGCGCCCGAGGTCATTCAGGCTAGACCCTATTGCACATGCGTGGATTGGTGGGCATTCGGCATTTTCTTGTACGAAATGGTTTTTGGATCCTCGCCTTTCGCGCCCTTCAATCGAGATATAATGGTGATGTACGGGAAAATCTGTGAAGGCGACTACAAAATGCCACAGAAGTTTAGTAGCGCACTCAAGGACTTGATCGACAATTTGTTGCAAGTTGATTTTTCTAAAAGGCAAGTATTTAAAAATACAACTTATTGCTAAAAAAATATCGTTTGAAAGCTTTAAGCTAATATGTATGTATGTATTGATAAAAGTATTAACTTCTCAATAAGGTTTGGGAACTTAGTGAATGGCAATAAAGATATCAAGAGTCATGAATGGTTCAGATCAGTCGATTGGTATGGGATACTTAATCAAGAGCTGCAAGCACCGTATGTTCCACAAATACACCAACCTGATGATTTATCTAACTTTGAACGGTATCCGAGGTCCAAGAAAACGCCTAAGTCGAAATCGTGTCTATATTGTGATGTTTTTTCGGAGTTTTAAATTGGTTTTATTGTTTTTTTTTCTTATTTATTTTATGCATGGCGCCATGGTTTTATGTGCACAGAAACAATCTGATCGCAGAGGCACTGGTTGTTCACTAGTTTCAAATAAATTTTACAATAGTACAGTTGCCCTATTTTTTTATTTTCGATATAATTTCCGTTTTATAATATAACCAATACTGTATTTTAATATGCTCCAAACTTCGCATAGGACCTCAAAAACGTATTTAGGAAAAAAAACCAAACCTAACCCAACACATTATATACCAAGTTTTATAAGCAATTTGACATAAATAAGCGAATATTGTGTAAAAAATACAAATCATTTAATATTATTTTAATTCAGCTGAATTCTTTTTTTTTCAAGAGTACCCAAATACGAACATCTCATCGCGCCTCAATCGCCAAAATTTCTCACTTAAGAACCAAGAAAACCTCTGTTATTTCTTTATTTTCCATCTGAGTGAAAACAGCTGTTACTCGCCCCAATTATTCTTTCCCCATTCCACTCTAATCCCCATGTTTGGTGTGATGTGACATGCCACAAAATGTCACCAATTAAAATTTTTTCTGGTAATGTGGTATTTTCTTTGTCGTTGAATATAATTTGAAAGCACCAATCACACACACACTCATAATATTAAAGAAAAAAAGCACTTATCAAATGTTTTCAATTTGGCGTTATTCTAAGCAATTAATTACTCAATTTTGTTCGTATTCTCCGAATAACAGCTGTAAAACAAGCAAAGCAAGTGTTCGAATTAGTTGGTGAAAATTTCCGCTTTTCCCATGTAAAGGCATCGAGATATCAAAGGCGATTTCTTTGCAGTTGATTGCATTATGTACATACATGCCTACATATGTTACAAGCAACAAACAGATGTTTTGCATTTTTTGTTAATTTTAAAGCCATTTCCATTGAACGGATTGCTTAAGTCTTGTTTATGTGTGAGTATAAAAATGCGAGCATACATGCGTACATACCCTGTAGTCAAATTAACTAGTTGTTACGTACCTCACAACTAGTATGAACCGCATGCCCAACTAGTCAGCCAACTATCTTTTTTCCATGCAATCAACTGGTATTTTTAACACGGGGATGTCCTATGAGATGGCAATTGTCAGATTTCGGTCAGAAATATACCAGTCTTATACTAGTTCAAAATAGACAGAAATATACCACTACTTTGGGAGTCAAAAAATAAAATGAATTCATGAATATAAAATAAAAAAATTTTAAGTACAGTTTAATATATTAAAGATTTTTATTTAGATTTTAGATTTGCCAATAATTAGAGTTAAATTTTTTGAGTATTAATTAAAAGCAAAAACAAATACATAGATATTTCAAACTTTCGAATATAAAAATAAAAATGCATTTTTCATTATACACATGTTGTTAGAAGTAAAGGTTTCCGGTACAATAAATTCTATATTTTTATCTTTTTTAATAATATTGAATATGCAAAAAACATTTTAGTTAAAAATAAAATGAATACTTTAGATAATTTTTGAGTGAACTAAAATAAAAATAAAAGTTTTCATTCAAATAAATTAAAGTCATTAACTTTGCACATTTCAGTCTATTATTTTTGAATATTAATAAAAGTAATAATAAATATTTAAAATTTGAGATTTGGATAAGATTAGAATAAATAAATAGTTCAAGCTGTTATTAAATATTCTTAATTTTTTATATTTTTATTGAGCTTTGTACCACGATTGTTTATTAGGAAAAATTGAAAAAGCAACAAAGTCTAAGCGGTAGAAGTTATAGTACTATTTCAGAGATCACCACATCTCTTCATCAGATCTCTTTTTTCTAAACTTCAGCAGGGATCGAACCTGCGTAATCGATGTTCAAGGTCAGAAGCGTTAACCACTGAGCTATGAATAAGGAAATGAATTAGCAACAAGAGTTTACGGGATGTACATAGCTCAGTGGTTAACGCTTCTGACTTGAGCATCGATTACGCAGGTTCGATCCCTGCTGAAGTCTAGAAAAAAGAAGTCTGATGAGGAGATGTGGTGATCTCCTAAATAGTGCTATAACTTCTACGCTTAGACTTTTTTGCTTTTTCAATTTTTTCTAATAAACAATCGTGGTACAAAGCTTAGTAAAAATATTAATAATAAAATGTTAATAAGCCACAATAACATTGACAAATTCTTAATTTTTGTCCATAGTTTGACTTGTTGATTGGTAATAAAAATTAATCAAATAATTATATTAATCGTGTAATTAATAAAAGTTAAAAATAATTTAAAATTATCAAAAATAACAAAATAAAGATGTAATAAAAATTAATGAATTAATTAACATTTTTTTAGTAAATAATTATTAATCATTAAAAAGGTGCTAATATCGGTATTTAATCATTTAACGGCTATCCAAAAAAACATTCTTTAATTAATAATCGTTATGGATATTAAGCATTACTTAATAGGTTTGGTATAATTGAATGCGTATTCGATTGAATGGTTTACAATATACCCAAATAAAAGATGTAATATTTTGTGTACTCTATTTTACTATTAAATTGTCGAAGTCAAATAAAACAGGGCATGAATACATAAATCGGTTTGTACTTGGTACAAGTCTGGTCATTTTCGAACTAGTTCGGTTTCTGTCGGGAAATTCTAGTTGTAAACTAGTAATTTTCCTGACTTGTTTGGGATTTCACTCCAGGCTAAATACATATATATATATGCACATATGGGTATTTCCTGGGTTACGGACGCGACATTCGTACGACTTTAGAGTTAAATAAATCATACAAAAACTGAAGTCACTTGTAAAAAAATTTGCTGTTGTGTAGCTTTTATACCGTCCTTTGGTTGACAGAACACTAGGTGCGCTTGGAACACTGAAGTCGAGAAAATCGATGAAAAGTAGGGCATAACGGACGCGACAAAAAAAGAAGTGATTTCAGAGTACATGTTAAAACTAAGCAAAACTCAGCGAATCGTGTAAGGTTTTCCTTTATTAAACATTCTTTAAATAAAGTCTAATTATGGACCGTTACAACCAATTCATTTTTAATCAGAAGCAATTTGTTGTTGATTTAATTTTGAATTAAAATCTGGTAACGGACGCGACATATCGGACGCGACAGATTTTCCCCCCATACAATATTTTTACTAGTAACACATACTAAATTTAATTTTTTCAGTTCTTCTCTCCACATTTTCCCGTTTTCAAAACCTCTTTTCGCCATCTGAATGCGAAATATAAAGTTATAAAGCCGTTTAAATTCATTTACTTGCATTTTCGGTTTCCTTTTTTGGGGAAATGCCCATATGTGTGTGTGTGAAAAGCATTTACGTGCATGTATTCAACTGAAGTGCAGCTGTGAAATATTTATGGCCCAAAGCTTAGAATAAGCACTCGATTTATAATGACTAATATTCGTCTTAGTAAAACTTTTCCAGTTTTTTATAATCACATGGATCTAGGTAGTCAGTCCGCCAGAGTAGCATCGTTGGCCCATTTGTAATAAGTATTCGATGAATATAAAAAAGGCATGGCTCTGTCCAAAATTCGAAAAAGCTTTGAGTCGAATACAATTACTTTTAAATATTTTTTTCAACAACTAGCGAATACCCGACGTGCTTCACTGTGCCTTAAAATAGTAGAAGATCCGAACAAGGCCGGACCGTCACCCATCTGTTTTATAGATGAAATCTATTATGTATGAAATTTGACGTGTTATGAAATATTTCGCGGGTGGGTTGGCTGAAAACAACAAATTACATATGTATGTGTATACTAATCGAAAGCATAAAGGTATCCACACACCTACGCGAATATGTCGGTGCGAATCTGTTCCGACAAAAATTACAACAATGCCGATCATAGTTTTAACTGAGGAACCACACACTTGTACGATTTTGCTGCAGCGATTAATTCGAACATTCACAGTTCTTCTTTTGGTCGTGCCGAAATCGAAGACTGCCGCGTTTTGAGAACAAAAAAGTCAATAGAAGGATTTTACAATACTAAAACAAATTTGAACGTAAGAAAACAATATATATTTGATGCACAGATGTGTACGTACTTGCGTTTTCGAAGCAGTAACGTCTGTAGCAACAAAAACCGTGCGGATTCGTTGCGACAGAATCACGTAGGTGTGTGGATGCCTTAAAGTCTATTCGGACCTGAGACCAAAAGTATTTTTGTGTTCTTACTCCAAAAACTCTTATGGCTTCAGTCATAAAAAATTAAATAGATTTGAAGAGCTTTTTCGAAGTGATATTTTCAAACAAATTTTCGATTTATGGAACAGAATTAATTTTTTATGAATACGGGCTTTACTTAATATACTATTATCGAAAGTATTTAATCCTGGAAATTTAATTTAAACTCTTATGGCTAGATTCTACATATCGTGCACTTTCTTCAAAGTATTCAGTATTTACGTTATCATATCACTTTAACTGAATTAAATTTTTCAAAGGGGTGGCAACCCGTATACTTTCTTAAACCTCTTTAGTTTAATACCCGTATTTCTTTTATTTTATCAATTTAATAATTGAATACAAATTTTCAAACAGGTGGCATCCTCCTCAAAAATATTTTTGGCAGTATCCTTTCCTAAACCTTTTTTTTAATACCCATATTGCAATATTTAATTAATCTTATTAAATAAATAAAATTAAAATTTTCAAATTAGTGGCAACCTTATATAAACATATTTTCGATCGTAAGCCTTCTTAAACATGTTTCTTTTGACAGCCACATTTCAATACTTGCTTTATCTTATCAATTTACTTCAACTGCAAATTTCAAACAGGTGGCAACTCTCTGACTATTACTTTTCCTATATTTTACGTTCCACTCTTATCAATGCATCGGTGAAAACTGCGCTCCATTCCATGCATAAGACAGAAAAAATGTTCCGAAAATTGTTGATTTGGCTTCTGTTGTTCTTATAAAGACCTATAATGTACAGACATCGGCCTTTTACAACTTTATTATATGTATAGATTTTATTGAGC